TAGGATGTCATTAAAGTTTTGTCCACATCTCCAAAGCCCTTCATATACTGGATCAGGTGGTGGAGCTTGGGGAAGTGGGTGATGCCTCAGAGCACAGTTGCCTCTGGGAGCCAGAGGTTCGGATCCAGGGTGATGGGAAGTGTTCCTGGCAGGCATTGGAGGGGCTCAGGACTGGGATTCTTCGGGATTCTTCCTTATGCTCCTGGCCGTGCTCTGACTTGATGAGTCTAACAACTCATACCCACTCTCTGGCTGGTTTCCTCAGATCACGTCTTTTCTCTGAATGCTTGGCTCTTCACAGAGTAGTTGATAAATGTTTGTGGAGTAAATGAGCAAATCTCCAAAGTCCATCCTGGTTCTGCTATGTGAGTCCATGAGCTTTACTCAGAGAAAGAACTGAATTGGCCAAGAAGGAGATGGTCGGTCCGGTTCCTCAGGGACCCTGGTCACAGTCCATCCTGTTAATGCAACCTGCCGTCACAGATCATCTCCTTTTCTTCCTCTTCATCCCTTTCCTTCTTTCACTTTCCCTCCTTTTCTCCACTTTATTCCAAACATTGTGTGTATTGAACTGAATTTCCCCAACAAGATTCTAATCCAGTACCTATAAATGAGACCTTGTCAAGGTGAGGCTACACAGTATTACGGTGACTGGAGTCTTTCTAAGAGGGATATTTGGACACAGATACACAGAGAGAATGCTATGACACAACAGAAGCAGACACTGTAGTGAAGTACCCATAAGCCAGAGTTCCAGGAATAGCCAGGAGTCACGTGGAAAAGATATATAGACAGGAAGGTTTCCTTTGCCTGGAACTGTGATTTGGTCTCTCTCTCTCTCTCTCTCTCTCTCTCTCTCTCTCTCTCTCTCTAATACTTCAGGCCCTGTGGTTTCAGATTCTGGCCTCCTGAACTATAAAAATAAATTTGCATTGTTTTAAGCCACTCAGTTTGTGGTATCTCACGACAGCAGGAAATCAAGGCACTCATGGAAATCACCCTTCTGATGCCTGTTAGTAGAGCCCCAGAGAGATCCAGGGACCCCAGCAGCTCTCAGAAGGTATGATAGAGATGCATTGTGGGATCCACAGTAGATCTCTGAGACCTCGAAGCTTGAGTCCCCTGTGAAAACACCAGGGGCCCTTCCACTTGGCTATTTAGCAGAGGGAGAAAGTCAGGGGCCGAGGAGGAGGACTGCCTTCTGCTTGTCTTCCCACTGGGGACAGCCCAAGAAAAGCCGCTTTTGTCATTACATGAGGATGTAGACACAAAAGCACAGTTCTCACCTCAAAAGGAAGAAGTCATATTTTATTCTGGAGGCAAATATGAGTGAGTAGGCTCAAGGCCCAGATTCAGGTTTCCCTAAACACCATGTTCCACTGTGAAAGTGGGTCCATGAGATTTTATTAGTTACAGAACAAAGGAAGTCATAAATCAAAGTGCTTACCAAATACATTGGTGGAGCCACAGGTAGGCAGGTTATATCAAAAAGAGGGAAACTCAGCTACGGGTTTTAGAGGCTGTCTGATGACATTCTTAGCTCTTGGATTAGTGAAAGCTAGTAGTCTGTGAAAAATACATTGTAAAGTTTTGATAGTCACAAGTATGTTAGGTCAGACACAGATGTGGGCAAAGATAGGCTTTCAAAGGGACTGAAAATAGCCCAAGATAATTTGACTCTGGTCTGCAACATTTTAACTCTCCAGACTCTCTGTTTCAGTCATTTAGCTGTGTAGACTTTTTAACACAGAGGCAACTCTTCTCTTCTGCTTCCTTCTTACTATGGAGTGCTTACTAAGCTGGGCACTGGTGGGCCACTGGAGAAAGCCAGGAGATGGATGGGAGAGGGAACCAGTACCCACTCTCCAAGTCCTAAGAACCAAGCTGGAGTTGGAGGACTGTGTGCAGCATGAGGGGTTCTTAGCATGGACTAGGAAATCAGACAGTTCTAGAAGGACTCCTAGCTCTGTCATGGCCTCCCATGGAAGATCTTGGACAAGATCTGGGCCTAGTGTGAGGATTAAGTAAAATATTATATACAGCAGAAGGCTAGGGTAATCTTTAGTTATTTTCCATTACTGGAGAGTTCAGTAAAGGAGGAAAGTACTTAGATTGAGCAGGACCTCTGTCCTGTTCAGGCCCTTGCCATCTCCTTCCAGACACCAGCTGGCTGGAATGCTCAAAACAATTCAGGAAGCAATGAGCCTCAATTCACAAATAAGGGCACTGTAGCTTGGACATGTAAAATAACTTGTCTAAATTAACACAGAGAGCAAGGAGTGTGACAGAGTCGGGGTGAAAACTGGAACTCCCCAGCACAGGGTCTTCATTTGCCAGCAGCCTTTATATGCAGCTTAGAGGGAACTGGAGGGCATCATGTGTTCAGGAGAGGGCCTCAGGCACTCACTCTGCTTAAGGCTGCAGGTGCACATATAGAAAATACATTTACTGGACTTAATATGTTTTTGTTTAATTATCAAATGTATGTGCTAAAGGGTGTTCTACACACTGTGTTAGTAACTCACTCAATCCTAGCAAGAGCCTATGTGATGGTGACTGCCATTGGTCCCATTTTACAGATAAAGAAATTGAGATGCAAGGAGGTTAGGACCTTCCCCAGTGTCACACTGACAGTTGAGTCATGGAAGCAGGATTCACATGCTCCAGAGATAATACCTTTAACCACTGTTCTATGCTGGGGTATCACTGTGAGGGAGGGAAGGGGGTATCAGGGTTCAGTTAACACCCACAGCCTCAAGCCACCCTTTGGTGCCTTAAGACCATGAGTAATTTGACCTTCTAGGGTGAATGGCAGGATGGCGGCTGTTTAGCCCTGGGGCTGTCTGAGTCAACAGCATCTAGTCCCTGGCCCACTTCCTGAAAGCTCCTTGCACCTCAGCTTTGAGACTCTTTGAGCACAAAGAGCTCATTTCCTGTGGCCAGGAAAGACGGGAACAGTTCCTGAGGACAGCTCATCTCCCTCATTAAGGCACTCATAAAACTGCTTCAAGGAGCCTGACTTATGGCTCCTCTGCCTGTCAGAATCCCCTCTGCAAAGAGCCACTCTGGTAATTTGGTGCTAGGAGATGTGCAAGGGAAACCAGCTCTTTGAGTCAGGGAATTATTTATGGTCCTAAGAAGAGAGAATGTCATTCCGAGAGATAACAAGGCTCCACCAGCCCAACAGGCTGTTTAATGTGCCAGGAGGGATAAGAGGCTACTCTGGTGTTCTAGTGCCAGGAAGGGAGAAGAGATATGAACACAGGATGGATGCCAGGTGGAAAGTTCCTGGGCCAGACATAGAAATGGCCATAGCTAGCAAGGGTGGAGGCTTACCCCTAGGCCAGAGCCTATATTTCGTTCTTTTTGTACATTAATTAATGCTTATGTGCTCCTATCATATAAATGAGGAAACTGAGGCACTTAAATCACCCAGCTAATGAGTGGCCAGGCAGGATTTTAACCCAAATAGGTTTGCCCCTGTTTGTGCTCTTAAGCACCAAATTGTCACAATTCAGGAGAAGGTTGGGTTTTAAGTCAGTCTGATAAGGTAAATTGTTCATAGATTCTAAGTGACCTTTAATAATCCCATAAAGTGTCTACTTAGTCCATTTAAGTCATGAAGCCTGGTCCAGTAATTCATACTTAAAATCATTAAAATTGGAGACCCACTGAGTTAAACAAGTTTATATGGAAATGTTTGCACTTTTAACTGTGTGTTTGGGTAAACTATCAGATCCTCAGGGGAGACAATGGAGAGAGTGGATTCTAGAGCAAGCCTACCAACCTAGTGACATTAATATTTACCACCTATGACATGCCACTTGGCCAGGTTCATATGTCACTTGTCACAAGATGTCTTTTCTGTGAGATAAAAAGAGCACAGTCAGCCAGGCGTAGTGGCGCATGCCTTCAATCCCAGCATTCGGGAGGCAGAGGTGGGAGAATCTTTATGAGTTCAAGGCCAGCCTGGTCTACAAAGTGAGTTCCAGGCCAGCTGGGACTATAGAGAGACCCTGTAGCCAAACAAACAAACAAAAAGAGCAGAGTCATACCTTAGAGAAAGTTCTATTAGAAGAGGTCTCCTAACGAAGAAACCGAGGTTAAATGACCCTGGAATGAGACTCCATGAGATTATAAATTTTGAACCTAGATAAACCAGGTTTGGGACCTAGATCTGCAAGATGTTAGCTGTGTGTAAAGCCTCAAGGTCTGGATCAGTAAAATGGCCATAGGAATAGGGCTAGGTTAAGACTAAATTTTAAAGTTTCTGACTTAGGAGTTTGAGCATATATAGATCCTTGTGATTAAACTTGAGCTCCTAACAGCTGTTTGACCTAGGGTGGGTCACATAAGTTCTGGGCTTCATTTCTCTCATCTGTAATACGGATCTAACGTTTCTGTCTAACTTAGAATATCATCGTAAGAAAGCAAAAAGGCACTGTATTATGTGTGAAGGCTACCTCTGAATACGTGGAATTGTGTGGAAGTGTTGGGGGCCCTCTGCTGGAGAAAATAATCATGAGCGTCCTGGGATGGAAAGCAGATCTCCACTTTTACCAGTTAGTGTGGTTGTGTGACTTTGGGTCACACCCAAACCTCTCTGAGCCTCAGTTTTCCCCATTATCAAGTGAGGTTTATAATACGGACTTTGTAAGATTTTTCCAAGAATTATTCTGCAGAAAAGTGTTAGGCACGTGGTTTAAGTGCTCAGAGTGTTAGTGGAACCTGAATTCCCTGGGGCGGGCCAGTTTGAGTCCTCTCATACACAGTGTCCCCGCCCTGCGCTCAGGTAGAGACGCTCCTGGGGGACCACTGGGCTCCAGCACCTCCCCCTCCCCCGCCCGCCCAGCCGTTGCCATGGCAACCGGTTCAGGCCCGGAGCAGCACCGGGGCGTGTTCAGACTAATCCCCGCCTTTCCAGAGTGACCATTGGCTGGAGTGGCCACGTGACGCGCGCCGGCATGCTAATATATGGTAATCGCCCCACGCCCCTCCTCCGCGGGCCGCGTCGGAGCTGCCTGCAGGGTGCGCGGCGGCGAGTCGAGGGGCGGGCAGAGGGGCGGCCCCGGGAGAGCGCGGCCAGGTGGAGGAGGAGCGCGGAGGCCACTGCAGGTAACGGGCGGGCGCGTGCGCGCTGGGGACGGCTGGCGGCGGCCGAGCGGCGAGCGGGGGACCCCCGGCGCCGAGCCGCTGGTTGAGCCCTCCCGGCGCCCAGCTGTCACGGCGCGCCGGGGCGAGGCGAGCCGGGCGGGCCGCGCGAGGCCGAGCATAGCCGAGGACACCGCGGGGAAGGCGGGTGGCGGGGCGGCCTGACCCGGAACGGCAGTTCGGAGCACCGCGACGACCTCGGGTGCCGGGGCGTGCCGCGGACTGTGGGGGAGCCGCTCGGGTCCCCGCAGCCGCGCGCGCTTTTGAGGGCGCGTGGCTTCCGCGCGCAGAGGCCCGCGTCTCAGCGCGGACTGTGGGGACACCCGGGGGGATCCGGCCTGGACGCTGCCTGACAGCCCAGCCGCCGGCACGTTTAATCCCGGATTAAGTCTGGGACCCCCCCCCCCCGCGGGACGGAGGGGAGATCGTGCGTGGGGGAACACCGGCAGGGGGAACCGAGGTCGCTGGTGTTGGAAGGAGAAAACAAGGGCAGTCAGTCCCCTTAAGGCATGAGAAGGAAGGGTACCCAGGACAGGCACTGGCCCTGGTAATCCCTGACACCCGTGGGAAAAGGTCCCTGCTGGACCCCATGTTCGGGTCTGTCATGGACAGACGAAGCGCCTATTTTGCCTGAGTTCCTAGCACATTTCTTACAAGGCGAGGTTTAAATCCAACTTCCTTCCCCTATGTTCCCTCCCTGGTCTCCTACAGAAGTGTTGTCTTCTAATGATCCCCCTCCCCCAATTCACTAAGACCGGTGGCAGCTTTAGGCTCAGAGTGTAATAGAGCCTTTGCCACAATAGAAATGGATGTGCTGCTAATATGAAGCCAGCCCTGGGAGGTTTCATGTGGAGGGGAAATGCTTCTGTCTCCAGGGGACAAAAAGCAGACTAATGCGCCAGAGATATCGATACCATTGGAGCTTCCCTTGTGAGTCTGAAATCCTTTCTTCAAAACAAGGGGAAATGTGGTTCCAGCCACCAAACCGATTTTTGCAAATGACGTGCAAATTGCACTACCATGCTGCTCTTGATGTCTTTTATCAACACAGTAACAAATACTTGGTTTGTGCCAGGCACTCTGCTGTGCCCAGAGCATGGAAAGATGACTAAGATAATTAGTCCTTGTCCTCAAATAAGTGATGGGGGAGACAAAATTGTTCCAAAAGTGATAGCCTCAGATGTGTATACAAAAATAGAGAGCAATTAGATGTCTCCAATCAGAGAGGCCTCCCAGAGAACACAGTTACCCAAGGTGTTGAAGGATGAATAGGAGTTTGCTTTGCAAAGATTAGGAAGGAGACTAAAGCAGAAGATTCAACAAATGCTGTCTCTAAGAGGAATTGTATCTCACAGGAATACTCCTCGCTTCCGCTCTGTCTCCTCTTCTTTTTTATTTGGGGAATGGCTTTATATTGCTACCATGGCTCTTTTTCTTTATTGCGTAACTTTCCAAAGGCTGGCTTAAACTTCTAGTTCCTATCATTGACCTGTGGTGTTTTCCTTGTTTTTCTCTTTAATGTTCCAGTTTTTCTGACTCTCCCTCCTGGTCTTTGTCACACCTAAGGGTCCAACAAGTGGAAGTGGAAAGGGGTGACTAGCAGTGGCTCCAAGGGAGATGGCCTGATCTCTGGACATAATGTATGGCAGTCTAGGCAGGATCCTAAGAGGGCAAGTGTAAACCACCTATTGAAAAGGTCATAGCTGGGGAAGCATTCTTTGTCACATCTATGAGACCCAGAGAAATGAGTCATAAGATCAGAAGCTAGTGTCTGAACAAAAGGGTTGCAGCCAGGCATGGTAACACACACTGTAATCCCAACACTTGAGAGGCTAAGTGAGGCAGGAGGAGCTCAAGTTCCAAGCCAGCCTAGGCTACATAGTGAGTTCTAGGTTCATCTGAGCTACATGTTGAATTCCAAGTCAGCCTGGGCTGTATAGAGAGTATAGAGAGACCTTATTTCAAAAGGAGGAAGGATTGGACTGCCATGTGGATCAGGGCAAGCAGTTCAAGGCAGACTGTAAATCACATAGGCTAGAACCCACTGTTCCATGGTGCCAGAGTGTAGGACAGTAATGGACCTGACAGCCCCAAACAACTGTGCATTGGGACAGGGCTATCTCCTTGTGACTCTTCTGTGCCATCTCCTGTCTGTCCTTTCCATACTGTTAGTCTCCCCTTTTGAGCCCTATTTCTACCCATGATCCAGCTTTGTAGGGTTTCTTTGAGATCTTACCTATGAGAGCAGAGAAAAACCTGTTCTGTTGTGCACCTATCTCCAGAACCATAGCTAGTCTGTTCTATCTCACAGGCCTTTAACTACCAGCATGTTTTCACTTCTGGAAGCAGAGCAAGGATGGTCCTAGACGTGGAAGGTGGGCCTTATCCCCAGAACTCACCTAATGTTTAAATCGGATAAAGGCCTTTTAGCTTTACTTAACTCGAATTTTATTTGTGTGTGTGTGCATGTACGTGTACATGTGTGTGATGTGTTTGTGAATGTGATGTGTGTGTATGTTTGCAGGCATGCATATATCATGGTATGTGCAGAGGTCTGAGGACGACCTCAGGTATCAATCTTTACCTTTCTTTTCTGAGGTAGGGTCTTTTTGATTGCCGTTAGGCTGTGTACGCCAGGCTGGCTGGCCCATGGGCTTCCAGGAACTCTCCTGTCTCTGCCTCACATTTCACCGAGATTACAGATGCATGCTGCTGCGTGCAGATTTTATATGGTTTCTGGGGTTTCAAATTCAGGTCCTCATGCTTGTGCAACATGCACTTTACCCACTGGCCGCCTCTCCAGCCCCCAGATTTCTTTTAGGAATGAATTGTAAATATTTAAGTGTATCAAAGGTGAGACCAAGTGAAGGAAGTTGACAAGTGATATGTTGGACGTGTTCCGCTGAGCCGACAGTTCTGTAAGTACTGGGAAATCATAGGTCGTATAAGCAGTCTTCCATTTATTTGTTTATTTGTTTGTTTGTTTGTTTTTGAGACAGGGTCTCCCTGTAGCCCCAGCTGGCCTGGAACTCACCATGTGGACCAGGCTGTCCTCCATTGCACAGAGATGTACTTGCCTCTGTCCCCTTGGTGTTGGGATTAAAGTTGTGTGTTGCCATGCCCAGCTTTAAGAAGTCTTCTTAATTAACATCTTTACCAAACAGCTGCTTGTGTGCAAATACTGTGCAGTGTTTGTGCTGTGGAGAAGACAGGAAATGGGAGGTGAGATGGGGTGGCTCAGCTTTGCAAGGATGGGATCCCACTCTACCAGTTGCTGGCTACAGGGCTCTGGGTAAGTTCCTTGACTTTGGTTTCTTCATCTGTAATGATGCCACTTGTCTCCTGCATTTGTATGGAGTAACTAATTACAAATATAAAGTAGTAACTCAGCACATTTTTGAGGTGTAAAATGTTACAGAAATTGAGAAAGGGAAATCATCATGGAATATGATTATGAAGAATTTTTCAGAGCCAAGGTAGAACTCGTGCTTGTCATGCCTTTACACCGGAGGTGGAGGCAGGAGGATCAGGAGTTCAGGATCAGCCTCAGCTACATAGCAAGTTTGAGGCTGGCCTGGATTATATGATACCCTCTCTCAAAGAACAAAACAAGTAAGGTGGTGTATGCCTTTAATCCCAGTGCTTGGGAGGCAGAAACAGGCAGATCTCTGTGAGATGGAGCCCAGTCTAGACTCCATAAGGAGTTCCAGGCCAGCTGGGGCCACATAGAGAGACCATTTCAAAAAAACCCAAAAGCGAACAGACAACAAAAAACAAGGGTGGACAAGATGGCAAGTGAATAAAAGCTCTTGCTTTTACTGGAACCCAGTTAAAAGCTGATGCAGTAGTGCACATATCTGTAATCCCCTTTCAACCCCTGTGGAGAGATGAGAGATGAAGAAAGGAGAGTCAGCCAGAAGTTCGAGGGCCAGCCAGCCTAGAGTATAACAGTGAGGAAGAAAAGGAAGACTGCCTCAACAAGGTGGAAGTTGAGAACTGACTCCCAAAATTTGTCCTCTGACTCCCACACTCAACCTCTGCACGAGTGCTGTGATATACATGTACACACTCACACAGGCACATCATACCCCTCCCTCCGTCCCTCCCTCCCTCCCTCCCTCATCCCCCCCAACTCTAATAAATTTCTTTTTACTCAAACAAGGTGGAAGGTAAGGACTGACACCCAACGTTGTCCTCTGACCTCCACGCATGAACCATGGAGGGTGCCCCCCAACATATACGTACACACAGATACACTTACACACAAAGATTTTTTAAAAATATTTTATTATTTAAATTTTTTTATGTGTATGCATGTATTGCCTGCATGTAGGCATGTGCACCCGTGTTGTGCACTGCCCCCAGAGGACAGAAGGGGTTGCCGGATCCCCTGGAACTAGAGTTAGAGACAATTGTTAACTGCCATGTGGGTACTAGAATTTGAAACTGGGTCTTCTGCAAGAACAGCCCGTGTTAACTGCTGAGCCATCTCTCTAGCCCCTAAATTTCTTTTTTTAAACAACCCCAGAGTCATGATAGATTCTGTCAGAAGGAAGATAGGAGGAATTTCCAGACAGAAAATTAATGCTTATAAAACATGAGGCCAGAATGTAGAAAAAAGAGCTTCAGGAGTTAGCTGACAGGGTTAACTAATTCAGCAAGATCAGAAAGTTTAATCAGAGAAGCTGTAGGATTGGAAGAGATAGTTGAAATAGCATCAATGTAGTCTTGACCTTGGGCAAAGGATTAACAAAAATAGGACAGACCTAAAAAAAAAGCCGTCTTGGGGGCAGGGGGCGGGGCGAGAAGAGAAGTACTAAATGTCTTTAAGTGCTGGGCCAGGGAGATGGCCCAGAGGTTAAGAGCACCTACTGCTCTTGCAGAAGACCTGAGTTTGGTTCTCAGCACCCATGTCTGGCGGCTCACAACTGCCTGTAACTCCAGATCCGGAAGTCCTACTCTTT